ATTCAATTAATTATATACGTTGTTTACACATGAAAAAAAAAAAAAGATTGTTTTAACTCAAACAAAAAAAAAAAAAAAAAAACAAATACAAAAAAACCCACAGTTGTTCGCATGTGTGTGTGTTGAAAATTATAATTTAAAAAGAAATATATGTGACAAGCTTATAAATGAATAAATCAGACATTTGTTTATGTCTCCCGCCCCCGCCCACCATTAACGGCCTGTAACTAGGTTACAGTACGAGCTTTCCTCATCAGATATTAAGCCAACGAATAGTGGCATCATCAGAAAACTTAATGATTGGAGCGGTGTTGCTTGGCTTCTCGATATCATTGGTGGGCTACAGAACTCATTTGTCTATTTCATGATATTTGGTAATTCCCTATTCGACATATTGGGATCGATTGGTTTGAAAAAGTTCAGAATTTCCGCTTGATGAGACAGTTGGCACCATTACCGTCGCAGGAGTTGCCGGGAATCGTCATTGCGTCAATGTTATCCGCCTATGGTACTCCATCTCGTGGGTTTGAATTCAGAGTTGGCCATACCTCTCTTCGATGAGTTGCCGTCCAAGGTTCAAGAGTCCCATCCACCCCCGGGGGTGCTGGGAAATCTTTTTGCATCTGGGTTTTGCTGCGGGGATTAAACTCCCAAAACCACCGCCTTCTTTTTGCACGACTCGGCCACCCGTCAGTCATTGGAAGAATACCGTTTATAACTAATGAAAACAAAGCTTTCTAATCACAATGTGTGTTGAGGTAGTGTTAAATGCCAATGAGCAGTCTAGCAAAGCTCCCTAGCATATATTTAGCGGATGCTGAGGTGACGGTGGGGGGTCTTGCCAATTCAATAATAGTAAGAGGGCATTCTCGAAACGCCTGGCAAATTGGTGTGTGGGGAAAAAAGGGGGGGGGGGCAAATTTTGCCGTAATTCATCATAAAAAAAAATAAATTCTAAGGATAAGTTTCTCAATAGAGTTAAGTGCGTCGGGACGTAAGTAATATTACAAATTTTCAAATGACATCATTTTCTTTGGAACTTGTAAGATTTCTGAAGTTTTCCATATCTTTGGTTTGTTATGAGTTTCATGAGAATGATTAAATATGTAACATAAAATGTAATAGAGCTGTACTGAACATAGTTTTACAAGCCGCCCATTTAACTGGTAGGAACCCGACGCCTTGGCTGTATTCACTTGTTTG